TATATATATATATATAGAGAGAGAGAGAGAGAGAGAGAGTCCTCACCTGTTGGGTTCATGGCCAAGTCTGAACCAGCTGTTGACGTCTCTGATGAAAAGCAGATTGTTGCTGGAGCAGAGAAAAGAAGCAGATGAGGTTAAAGTGTTGAAATAAAGGAAATTCTTCTCTCAGCTCAGAAAATCAGTCAATATTTTCTACAGCGCCTCCTTGAGTCCAGTTTAAGTCACTGTACCTTGACGACTTATAGAGAAGTCCCAACAGAAGCAGAGAACCCAGTAAAACAATGGTCAAAGTCCACAGCAGGACCAGATGAGAGACGGATGGACTGGAGGACGGATCGTTGTCTTTGTGCACAGCTGGAGACACAGGTTATTTAAGTTATTTAAGTTATTTATGTTTGATAAAACACTAATTAGAACATTTAGCTAACGGCGTAATAGAACGTATAAACTGTGCTCTGACCTCGGACAGTCAGCCAGCTCTCTGGTGATTCTCCGACTCTGGAGATGCTGCACTTGTAGAGTCCTTCATCCGACTTGGACGCATCATAGATGGTCATCACTCCTTTGTATCCCGTCTCGATACGGACGTTGTCCTTGTGGAACTCCGCGATTCGGTTTGAAGGTTCCACCGTGAGGCAGCGCAGAGTCACATCGTCGCCCTCCATCACAGGAAGAAGAGGAAGATCTAGGATCAGTCCTCCACCTACAGTGTAAAACAGACTCAACCTTCAACTAATTCTGCTTCCTGCTGAGAACTGTATGTTTGTCGTGCACAGTGAAAGAACAGGACAGTAAAACCTTCACGGATGATTTAATGAACCACCAACATGAGAGGGACTGAGTGACGACAACACGCTGCACAACAACGAAGCAACGTCGCCAAACAGATGTTTTATGACGAGACTGCTGTTATGAAACTGCGGCAGAGATCGTCAATAGTTGAAACAGAAAGTTGCAGAACCAATCAGGTGCCTTCAACACTACAAGCTACGCCCACAAGAACTGTACATCCGTGAAGTAGCGACCCTCCAGCTGCGACTCGTTGGGCTGTGAAAAGATTTTCCTGGAACTCGTTCCCTGGAGGAAACGTCCGACATACAGCTGTGGGCCACTTCAGGCCATTGATGAGTTGTACATCAAGATGTTGGGACAGGTTTTGCTCGACTTACCAGCAACAGTGAAGTTCACTGCATTACTTCTCTCTCCGTCTTCACCTTCGCACCAGTATTCTCCGCTGTCAGATTCACGCACAGCTTTGATTGTGCGGGATCTTGTCGACGTCTTGACGACGACGGAAGCAGCGTTTGATTCCTTCAGCCTCCTCGTCACTCTCCACTCGGTCAGTCCTTCCATCTCCTCACAGCTGATATTTACCGACTCGTACTGAAAGAACTGCTGTCGTTTCGGATCAACGTGAGGAAAAGCTGCATCTGAGACGAACCAAAGTTAAAGAGTTTTACTTTTATTCAATGTTATTGTCATAAAAAAAAGAACTGCTTGAAATCACAGATGACAACATGGTGATTTAACCCCCCCGCCCGCCTGCCTGCTGCTAACCCAGGATCATCAGGAACTCCACATCACCCTCCATGTACTGAACTCATGACATGAAGGATGCCGATCAGCAGGAAGTGCACTTACCAACTCTCTGATCATTCACGTTGTGGACTTTAGTGTCAGAATCCCTGAGGAGACACAGACACAGGAACCTTCACTCGAGACAACAGGAAGTTAGAGAGGAAATAACACAATCGAATATATTGACAAACAGATGCTTGAAGCTTTAAACACAACTTGCCACTCACACAGCTGGATACAGAGAGACGTGAGCTCCATGTTGTCGAGTGACGACTGAGACCATCGGACTGAAATCCCAGCGTCAGACTCTCTTCCTGGTTGGTCTGTTGTTACCGCTAAAGTCACGTGTGAGTCCTAACTTTAAAACACGTGAAACTGTGAGTGGTTGGTTTGTGAGCGGGTGTGTCTGGATAAAAAAAAAAAAAAAAGATTTCCTTTTGCCACTTTGAAACTTTCCCTGCTGCTGCAATCCATGAACTTTTTATGTCTTCGAAACCAAACTGGACACGTGCTCCATTTAAGTGGCTCAGTTGAAACATGGCTGGCCTCTTACGTCGGCTACAGATGTTGAAAAACACACAATATATTTAAACAGGGTTGTGTTTTATATCTTATTTAATTTTTCATTCGACATGCTAACTGTCTCCAGGACACGAGGACAATAGMTGCTGCTGAACTGAAGACATCAACACAACAACAGATTCACAACATCAGAAGAAAGTGTTAATRGTCACAGCTCCAGTTTTCTTCTTCTGTTATTTCATGTGTTTGGAAATGACTTGKGTAGTCGGTGAAGTTCTACTTATTTATCATTTTAAGGAAAAACATCAGAACACTATCACCACAGTTTTCACTTGGTCAATGAATGAAAGCGGAACCTAGTGGTGGGTTGAGGAACTGCACTGTGGTGAGTTCTTACTCATGAACACGTTTTATTTTGACAAACTTCAACCGGAGGAATTTAGTTTTTTGTTTCATTCGACGAATCAGATCCTGATGTTGAGTAAAACAACGAGAAGAGACAAAGTTTGTCGCTCAATCAGTTTTTATTGAGTAGCGTTGGACAGTCGTCCTCACTAATGACATCACACAGGAAATGACAGATACACACATGAACAACATCAGTCGGTGTTTTCTCCGTATCTTCACGTTTAGGTCAGTTTGTGTTTGTTTGTTTTTAGCTCAATGTAACGTTTTCTTTTCTTCGTTCACTCTGTCCAGACCAAGTTGTGTTTAAACGCGTCCGTTACCATAGAAGCTACAAGCACTTCCTGTTCTGGTCGTTTGTGTGAGTCACATGTGATGACGTCCTGCGACACGTTTAGCTGGCGGGGTAGAACGGCCTGATCTTCATGCTAATGGCCTTAAGGGAATACCAGCTCCCCTTCCAGTTCATCCACACCACGCCATCATCTGTGCCGTGCTTGGCCATTTGCTTCGTGTAGGCTCCACCTATGTAGTATCGGCCGTTGGGATTGGCCGAGTGGCAGCGGTTGTACCACCAGCCGCCTCCGTCCTCCTTCGAGCACTGTTTGGACGGATCCCCGGGAAGCCTGGTTCAAACAAGACAAGGAGTCAGTCATGACCTAAGTTACTGACTTTTTGAAAAATACTTCGATACAGAAGTTCTTAAGTTTTGAAAAACGACAAATGTTGCAAATCAATAAATTTCAAGAACCAAGTCAAACTCTGTGATTATTCGTTTTTCACTGAATCACACAGATTATAAATGAGTTGAATTCTTTATAGAACATTGATGAGACGTTCATTGTAACATATTAGTCACGAACACGAACACGGACGTCTAACGCAGCTCAAAGCAAACTGTTCACGTCTTTGTCAAACTCACCAGTTGTCGTTGTCTCTGTCGTAGGTGCTGAACATCATCCCGTTGTGTATGGTCATGGTGCGGTTTTCACCAAACAGCTGCAAGGACCCTTCCAGGAAACAGTTGCCAGCGTTTCCAGAGTAACCATTAACCGCCATCACGTAATTGGACGTCTCTGATTGGATGGTGAACTGGCTGTACTGGGCGTGGACCTGAACTCATTCCAAACCAACATATTCATAACGTGACTATTTTTTGAAAACAGATGAAAAATGATTCTTCAAACTGTTTTTCATAAATAACAAAAAACACAACAAAAGAAATTCAAATCAGTTATTGTTCAGATTGTGACGGAACCTGATTTTAAAACCAGGCGGAAACAAACGGGAGATATTGACTTTGTGACGGTGCGAGATTAAGAAAAATATGAACTGAAGCAACACTGAGGACGCACCTTGTCTCCTGTCCAGTCCTGCATCTCAATGAGAACCTCCGTGGGGCCCATGTTAGTCACCTGACTGATGTGGTCGTTACCCAGCCAATATTCACCTGTCACAAACAAACAGATGACCGAGGTAAGTAAAGGCTGGACAGAGACAAGCTACACTAGGACGTCGTTGATGATAGAACGCCTCTTTGTCTCTTACCTGGAGTCTCACAGTGACCTTTTCCAACGTCGAAGGCGATGTTGCCGAATCCACGTCGATATTCGTCCCAGCGCCGGCCGAAGTTGACGCTGCCGTCGAGCCTGTTCTGGATGAGGAGCCATCCTGAAAAATCAAGAGACAAAACCGTAAAGTTTGGACAGAGTAAGTGTTTTGTGTTGCAGGTGTGTGAAGGGATTTATGTTGTCACCTCCGTTCTGTGTCGACTGATCACAGAAGACCTTGTACGGTGGGAAGAAGGCGTCGGGCTGGATCATGTACATCTGAGAGTCTCTTCCTCCACGACGGTAGATGTCCTCACACTCTTTGCCTGAACCACATTTAAATGTTACTACTGCGACGTGGCATCGGATCATTTACCATAACATTTACATTTATAGATAAGTCCTGATCTCCAGAGGATGAACTACGGCTCTGAGTTAAAGTCTTTGAACACACAGTGCGTATTTATGTCTTCCAATAAGAATCATGGAACCTTGCACACTGACCTCGTTTTATTATTGTTTCTATAAAATGGAGGATTTTGTGATTGTCTCATTTGTTGGAAAAAGAAAACATCTCTTCAAGAGTTAAAAAGAACTAATAATCAAACCTGAACACGTTCATGATGCATCGAGGTTTCAGAGTCTGTGATTCTGGTGGGTGCCACACTTACCGGACACCACAGGTATGGGACACGTGGTCTTGCAGGGCTCTCTACACAAATCCCTCTGGGACAGGATGGATTTTTCCAGTTTCTGGATCTTCAGCCTGACCTTGTCGAGGACGCCCTGCAGCCATGACACGTTCACTTAGAGGTTTGTGTTCATCCTCAACTTTTCTACCTTAAAGCTGCAGCTTGATTTGAGTGAGTGTGAACATGGAGAAAGTTTCCTCCTTCGTTCTCTCACTGATGAGGCTGTGAGGTGATGGACGTACCTGCAGGACTCGGATGTTGGAGGGAAACACAGTGTCCACCGTCTCCTTGATGTAGGCGTGTTGCTCCTCCACTTGATCCGTGTACTGACTCGCCACCCTGGTGTTGTCTGAGAGCAGAAACCAGCGTTCACTCACACAGACGAGGCCGACGCCTCCGTATATTTACACACAGAGTTCAAGTGAGACGATGACACAGAATCTGAATCCACTGTTTGAGTGGAGCCGCCACGTTCCAGGCTGTGGTTTAAACACTGACACGTGAGGAGCACACGAAAATACTCACACGGTCATGTTACTGTTACATGTCATGAAGTTACTGAAAACACTTTACTTCTTTACACAATCAAATAAAAACATTTATCCACTGTCAAAGT